ATTGCTCCGAGATCTCTCAGCCGTTTAATCACCTTCTTCGCAAGGGTGTCAAATGGTGTTCGAGCGAGCATCGACAATGCAGATTCATAGCCTTATCAAAGGCAGTGAAAGAAAACGCTAGTGTGCCAATTCGCGACAGAAACGAGCCATTCCTTTTGCAGGCAATTGCGAGGGATTATGGCGTCGGAGCTGCTCTGCAGGAACATGATGATATACATTGGCCGGTTGCTTTCGCAGGTCAGACCTTCGATTCCGCACAGCGTAACTAGAGTGTTCTAGAAAGAGAATGCATAGCCATGGTGTATGCATTAAAAGCGATTTGGCATGTATTTAGACGGCACAACATTCCAAATTCAATGTAATCATTTAGCGTTGTCATGGCTGAAGAGACTTCAGAACCCCGTCGGTCACCTCGCTCGTTGGGTACTTACGCTACACCAATACGATTACGCTATTGTGTACAGGCCGGGCGCTGCCTACAAACTGCTGATGCACATTCCCGGGCCCCCTTCCAGAGAAATAAAAAATGACCACATCTCCACGTGGTGAATGATGTTCATTGGTGCGAAGCTCTGGTGGTGCTGATGATACTGATTTTATTGTTCATAGGTAGCGCTCAGTGTGTTGATTTTTTTTTATTGCTCATAGGAGGTGCTGAGTTCCGGGTTGGGTTTCGACTTCATTATTACTGCTTTATGGTCTGCGAAATGCGGAGCTAGTGGTTCTTCTAGCGGATCAGCTTGGATCCGCTAGAAGCCATGGGAACGCATCTCCGCCGCTTAAGCCAACGGTCCATGTCAGAAAGAGAATGTGTGGTATGGAACGTGGTTATATACGCATTTGAGCATTTGAGCGCAGCGCCCTCTCGTCTATAAACGTTGAGCCAACGCATGCAAAGTTTAACACGATTATATACGCATTTGACCGCAGCGCCCTCTCCTGTATAGACGTTGAGCGGCTACATGCAACGTTTGATTTATGACACACAGATGGGATGGCAATCGATGTGAGCACGGACGCCGGACGGATGGACAAGGCTAGACCCTAAGGAGCTTCGCCCCTAAAAACATTTTGAACTTGAGCTTTCACACCGAAACCTGGCGTCTTTCCTTGCGCCTCTTCTCTGCACAGCACGCCACCGTCGAGCCCGGCAAAGCCTGCGACGGTGTCAGGGTGTGCGCGCGCAGGTAGAAAGCAGGATCTCGAGTCGTCGGGTACATCTTGGTGGGAAGAGGGTTTTTTCGACTCTTGTTGCTTTATGGCTTTTCCTATTTTGACTGTTTTGCGGGGCTGTGTCCTCCTGTGAACTTCCAATGTCTTGATATCAGCAAATGCTTAGCGCTGCCAGGTAAGAGCATCCACTAGTAACCTGGCTGTTTCTTACGTCACATAGTAATCACTCTCTCTTCTCGACGTCAGAATCTCATTCTCTTGCAACGAAACACAACAATCGACGCACCCGGACAAGTGTTTGGCCAACTCGGAAGCCTCGTTGCTATTTTAGCACCTCTCTTGTGCTCACACAATCGGGCTGGCCAACTGTGTGAAGCGCTTTACGTGAATTCCCGTGAAGCGTGGTTCTTACAGTCTGGCCAACACAGCAAGAACCACACTTCACCGGAATTTTGTAAACTACGCCAAGATCATAATTCACAGAAGGCTCCCTATGATTGTTACTACTGCCACTTCTTCACGCTAAAATAGGAGCTAATTTGTCCAGACGAAATCCGCGTTTAAAACCACAGTGATACCGAACTTCCCTGCCAAGGCCTTCAGGTTATCAGACACGTCATGGAAATATGGAAGACGCACACCTCTCTTATCTATTCCATCAGATCTTCCGACATCACAGCACTTTGCCAACCCAAGGATAATGGAAGATACAAAATGACTTCCATAACCAGCTAAGGACAATCTACACAGCTGTTTTCCCAACCCAGCTAGCAGACGGTGTACACAGGACAATTTCAGCGAATTAAACAGCACAAACTTGACCACATCCTGCATTACAATTCTCGAATGACAACTGAACCTAGACAAAAAGAGGTTTAGAGTCCCCCTTCCCAAGCAGAGACCATTTTAAACAAAACAAAAAAAAAACAAAAAAACGGATACCTTAAAGCTGTAGACGACCGCAATGGGTCTCTTTCACTGAAAATGATAACACAGAAGCCGCTGCGCGAACCGGGTGCTTCACAAGATCTCTAAAAACCGAATCCAAAGTGAGCAAAGAAATAACGTCCGCATACCTACCAGTTAGCACAACACTAACATAAAACTCTGTACGTTGGAATTCAACATTTGCCAGAGCACCGGATACACCAAATGGCGCATTAGACGAAGTCTGAAACAAGGCGACCACACGCTTACGGAGTGACTAATGATGATCCCACTCCCTAGTGAAAAACCAGATATGCTTAAGAAATTTCTTAATCCAATAAACGAACATCGTTAAACAAGAATATATAAGAGCCTCAAAGAACGTCATAAGAACATATTAGAACAATATAAGATTACACAGGGTGTTTTATTAAGACTTTCAGGTTCGATTGAAAAAAACTGTGAAATCTACCCTTACGCGTTTTGTGCAGATGCTTTATACTACCAGGCGGCAGAGTATAACGGGCTAATTGTAACGATGAGTCGATTAATTAAGTGTATAATCACTTAATTGACATTATAATTATTTGAAATAGACATATGCTTCCAACTAAAAAACTTGCGAAGTGCCATTAAAACCTCTAAATCAACTCTTTCTAGAAAGATGTATTGCAGGGAAGGCATTTTACGGCGTTCATAAAAAAAAACGATCAGTTTGAACGCGTCTCTTGGTATCGTTTTCCTATAGGAGCGCACATCTGTGCGTCGAACACAAAGTTTGGCCCGAAGTTTGCGGAACGCGTTCCTCGGACTCTCGCGACGCTGACGTCGTGTCGAGCGAGGTGTCAATCATTAGAACGCTTATTTCTTCGAGATCGTCAGAATGTAGCAAAGTTATCGAGGCGCGCGGGAGCGCGCGAGGAGCGCGCTGATTGAACGGCTGCGCCGATGACGTAGCGGCCGTTAGTTTCTACCAGTGTTGCTGAGCGGGCACCCCCATTCCATTCCAATTCCATTTTGGGCAATTAGAGTTTTCAATAATTTCATTGCTTTCAACTCCTAGGAATGGGGACACTGGGCCCATTCCCAATCCTGGAATGGCTGAATCGTTCCCATTCCATTCCTCTAATTCCTAAACGTAAAAAGTGTCAATTGACAGCTGCATTGCGTTGCACGGTTGGGCAGAAATATTAAAGAATGTATTTGGAAATACAAATACTGGGAAAGATGAAAATAGTTGCTTAAATACTGATACTCAAGTCTCCGATATATCTGTAAACATGTATCGCGATACATATCGGAAATACATTTTAAAAAGAGTCAATTTGTCTTTGGAAAATCAAATACAGCAATACATTTTAGGGAGGCCAGAAATAGAAATACTGATAATGCAATACATTTTTCAAATTTCTTTGAGACGCCAAATGAGATGAGGCATTAAGTTTGAAGGGAAAGTTTTTTGTTGTTGTTTTTTTTTTGGTCCCGAAATTACTTTCCTGCAGGCTTGGCCTTGAAGGCTGTGATTCAGGACGAAGAGTCTTCAATGGGTTCAAAAAACTTTTCATCAGGGATTGACCGCAGTCCCTTCCCTGGCATCCTGTCTGTCTGACCAGTCATGCGAAAAGACTTCGACATCTAAATATATTCCATGTCACGCTAAATCCCATCAAAATGTCAACACGCTCCTGTCCAATAAGGGCGCCCCTGTCCGCACTGATCACATGACGTCATGGTGGGATGAACTAGTATTCTTGTACCTGTAGGTGGTGCCTTGAACATGAAACTTTACTCACGCGGCTGTATGCAGTGGCGTCACTAGGGTCAGCGGCACCCGGGCTGGCCGCCCGGGGCGACACAACCCTCCCCCTGCTCATCACCCGCCGCAACACCCTTCCCCCTCCCTCTCATGGCCTGTCGCGACACCCCCCGCAGCTCTGCACCCGAGGCGCTCCGCCCCCCCCCCCCCCGCACCCCCCTTGTGACGCCACTGGCTGTATGAAAGGACAATACGTACTTTCGTTGTAGGTGACCTCGTTGAAGACCATGTAGGCAGTTGCATTTGAAATTTTTGAGAAAAGTGGACCATTTGAATCATCCTGAAGCACATGTCTTATATTCTGTTCCGGTTGAAAAATCAATACGGTGGCATCCCTGTTTTGACGGTGCTACCTGCCGACCCTCCGCCTCGAACGCATGAATGGCCGTCCTTAAGTTTCGCCTGGCATCATTCAAAAAAAGACCTCGTGGATTGCGACCTGAGATTGCCGGCACAGGTGCGAGCTCTCCGAAAAAGAGCGCGCTCGAGACGTGTCATAGGTGTACGAAGTCTGGGTCCGCACAGCAAGGCCACATTTGGCCTCTTTCCTGGGCATCATATTGTAGCGTGAGAATAAATGAGTTGCCGATGGTGGTACGCGGCGGGCCGCTTGTTCTGCTCTTCCCTAAAACCGGTCGTCGTCACAGCGGAGACGGGCTCGATTCGCTCCTGCCTTGGGGGCCCGCCGGTTCCTGAACACGTGCACCATGCATGCGACGAGGTCCCCCGGGCCGGAGGGAGGAGGGAAGTGGTTTGGCGAGTTTTGCCGCTGGGACGAGGCAGTCGTGACTCGGGAGTCAGGCCGGTAACCGGACCGTCGTTCCGCCAGCGGAAAGTTTTGTATCTCTAACCCCTGGTCACTCAGTGTCCTAGGCTTACGATCGTTACAAGCGGTAGAGTTGCGGAGTAGGTCCAGACTCTACGATATGACAGCGGTTTCAAAGCTGGTGGGTTCGCCTTCAGTCGACACCATCGACACCACGGACGGCCTAGAAGGAGCGGCCGACTCCCGGGTTCTGCGGAGCGGGAGCATCATCAGCACGGCGGCAATGGCCACGAACGCCCCGCTGTTCCGGCACCTGGGATGTGTCGAGGAAGTCGGCCAACCCGCAGACCACAGCCGACTTCCTCGACACACCCCAGGTGCCGGAACACCGGGGCGTTCAGGTCTATGTTTACGCCACCGGTATTTCAAGGCAATCCGGAAGATGACGTCAGCGACTGGCTGCTGTTCTACGAGCGGGTAGGGGATTTCAACGGTTGGGACGGAACGCGCCGTGAGCAGTACCTGTGCGTTGCTCTTGATGAAAATGCCAGAAAATGGTACTCCACGACACTGCGAGGGACCAACGCACCAACTACCTGGGAAGCGTGGAAGGCAGCGCTCAAGGAGACCTTTGGGAACAACAGCATGCAGGAGTGGGCCCATCTGCAGCTCAGCCAGCGGTTCCAGCTGCCGTCGGAGCTAACGGAACAGTACTTCTACGATGTACTTCAACTCTGCGCTCGAGTCAACGAGGCCATGACAGAGGAGGAAAAGCTCCGACAGCTGACCCGCGGCCTCAGGCCAGAAATGCTGAAACGAGTCGTTCTGGCCAACCCGCAGACCACAGCCGACTTCCTCGACACATCCCAGCGTCTGGCCCAAGCAAGTGAGATGGCCAAACATAATATGTGGGCTATGCCGTCACATCCACTGCCGGGATTCAACACTCGGCCGTCCCAACACGCGAGTCAGGAGGTACGAGCCAGCCAAACTTTCTCCGACCCCCAAGGAGCAACGCCACAAGGGATGACCGCACGGGCTTCCACCAACAGCCGTCTGCGCCACCACCTGAGGTTATGTCGTCGCCACAACTGCAATCGGAGGTAGGCAGCTTCTTCAAAACTCTGACCGAAATGCTTAAACCGCTCACCGAGTACAATGCCAGGAGGTCCACATTCCCCGCGCGCACGACACGCGCCGCCAACGGACAGCCTATCTGCTTTAAATGCGGAAGAGTGGGACATATCCAGAGGAGCTGCCCAAGACGCGACGTTCAGTCGGAAAACGGACCCGCCCGGGACTAAGGCCGCCTCCCAGGGATGCAAAGGGTGAGCCACTTCTCGCGACTTTCGCAAAGAGCCACCTGGCTATGCTGCCGGCAACAGTGCATGGTTAGAAGACGTCTCTCATTCTCGACACGGGATCGGCAGTTAATGTGATTTCGGGAAGATTTCTCAACACGATCAAGGCCCCTTTGAAGTGCAGCCCCTCGGGCATAAGTGTGAGGGTGATCAGCGGCGCAGTTATAGTGCGCGAGGCGAAGTTGAACCTGAGATAACAATCGGGGTCAACAAGCTTTGGGAGCGTTTCCTCGTAATCGAAGGTTTTGACTACGACGTGCTATGCGGCCTGCCATTTTGTCACACTGCGGGCGTGGTAATGGATTTCCCTGACAAGTGCATTTATTTGCTGGGACAAACGTTCGGGATTACCGGTCACGAATCTACCACTACAGGGGACGCGCCCGTTTACTGCTGCGAAGAGGTTTGCATGCCGCCACGCTCCGAGGCCGTGGTGTTGGTGAAAGCTGACATAAACGGACTGGCCGTAATTGAACCTGCGGCTGGCAATCACTCGAAACAGCGTCCAGTGATTGCTCGTACCATCACCGAACTTTCCGGAGGTATCGGATGCGTGCGAGTGGCCAATCCCGGCGGTTCTGAGCTTTTTATTGCTAAAGGCACAAAAATGGGAAACGCGATCCCTATCGCCGATGTTCAGCTGGGCGTCGCCGCTGCACTGACCTCGGAGACACCTGGAGCCAGGAAAAGCGTGTCGTTCGGAGAGACCTTGGAGCCAAGCGAAAGAGAACGCCTTCAGAATCTTGTGAGTGAGTACAGTCATCTCTTCGCATCGCCCGATTCTCCGCCTGGAAGGACTCATGTCGTGACTCATGGCATCGACAGAGGCAGCGCGACCCCACTTCGACAGGACCTGTACCGGCACTCACCGTATGAGCGAACTGTGATCCAGGAGCAAGTCTACGAGATGCTCGGGAACGGCGTGATTCGCGAATCGTCCAGCCCTTGGTCATCGCCAGTGGTACTCGTCAAAAAGCGGAATGATACCTGGAGGTTTTGCGTGGATTTTCGACGAGTGAATGAGCTCACCAAGAAAGATGTTCACCCATTGCTAAGAGTCGACGACATTGTCAACGCCCTGCAGGAAGTAAGGTACTTCACGACACTTGACTTGGCCAGCGGATATTGGCAGGTCGCCATAGATGAAAAGGACAAGGAGAGGACGGCGTTTTCGTGCAGTTCAGGATTGTACGAGTTCAATGTAGTACCATTCGGGCTCTGCAATGCACCGGCCACCTTCCAACGCATGATAAACAAAGTCCTGTCGACAATGCTGTGGAGGGTGTGCCTCACATATCTGGACGATATCGCAGTCTACTCCAGGACGATCGAGCAGCACCTGTGTGATCTTCGGGGCGTTTTCGGAGCCCTCCACGAGGCCAACTTGCGTCTACAGCCCTCCAAGTGCACATTTGGTGCCGAGGAGATTCGATACCTCGGACATGGGATCAACCGAGTGACTGTTCGACTGATCCCGAGAAGCTGAGAGCTGTGAGCAACGTTCGAGTGCCGAGGTCAAGGGACGACGTACAGAGTTTTCTCGGCCTCTGCAATTACTACAGGCGATTCATTAGTGACTTCGCAAACATTGCTAGACCCCTCACCAACCACACGCGAAAGCAGGTCACTTTCCACTGGGGTGATGACTGCGATCTGGCATTCAAGGCTCTGAAGAGGTGCTTGACCACGGCTCCCATTTTGTCACTTCGATCCAGACTTGCCCACAGAGGTTCACACCGACGCCTGTGGGTATGGGATCGGCGCGGTCCTCGTTCAGAGGAAGGACGGCCAGGAGTGGGTGGTGGCGTACGTGAGCCGACATCTCAATCGAGCGGAGCAGAACTACTCGACAGTGGAACAGGAGTGCCTCGCGGTACTGTACGCGTGCCGACAGTTTAGGCCGTATATATTCGGAAGCCATTTTACGATTATCACGGATCAGTCTAGCCTGACGTGGCTAATGAATGCCAAAAATCCTAACGGAAGACTCGTCCGGTGGAGTATTTTGCTGCAGGAATACAACGCAACCGTGACGCACCGCCCGGGCAGAAAGAGCATGAACGCCGACGCTCTCTCACGACTACCAGTAGAACAGCAGACCAACGACGATGAGAGCGAGTACCCGCTGCTGGCCTTGCGAGAAATCGACGTGTCAAAAATGCAAAGAGAGGATGGATTTTTCAAGGCGCTCATCGACCACCTCGACGAGCCAGAGGCACCCGTCGCAGCGAAAACGAAGCGCGTTGCCCGGGCCTTTCACCTCGTCGATGGAGCACTGTATCACCGGGCAAGAGTGTTTCAGAAGTTCCGGTCAGCCTTGGCTGTCCCCCGCCAGCTACGTAAAGAAGTCTTGTTATCGTGCCACGATGATTTGACCAGCGGGCATTTGCGAGTCAAGAGGACCTGAGAGAGTGTGCCAGAGGAATTACTGGCCGAGGATGTTTCGAGCCGTGCGCCGCCATGTGCGGTCATGCCCTGATTGTCAGATGAAGAAGACGCCACCCTTAATGACTGCAGGAAAGCTACAGCCGATACCGCCCAGCCCCAAGCCATTTCAGCAGGTAGGAATGGACTTCCTGGGGCCCCTTACCAGGACGACTGATGGCAATCGCTACGTTGTCGTCATCACGGACTACCATACCAAATGGGCGTAGGCGGTCGCAACTCCCGATGCGACAGCGGCAAGCGCCACAAAACACTTTTTGGATCGCGTCGTCCTTCGACACGGAGCTCCCCTAAGCCTGATCAGCGACAGGGGAAGGCACTTCGTTGCGGATATGATAGAAGAGCTCTTCCGATTGACCGCCACGAATCACTACCGGACCACTGCCTACCACCCGCAGACGAATGGGTTGTGCGAGAGATTTAACCGCACTCTCTCGCACATGATAAGCATGTACGTGTCGGCTGATCATTGGGACTGGGACCGTTTTCTGCCATACGCAATCTTTGCCTACAATATCTCTGTGCATGGCACGACGAAGTTCACGCCCTTCTTCCTTTTGCATGGACGAGAGGCAACGCTACCCCTTGATGCGGCACTAGGAGTACAGTCCGACGAGGTGCGGGCCCCGAGCAACCAAGTGGTGCTGTAGAAGTGGCAAAGAGCCAGAGAGCTTGTTTCCACTCGTGAGTTTTAAGCACAGCGGAAGAACATGCAGAGGTATGACGTCAACAGAAGGGAGGCCACTTTTCGCACAGGAGACCTGGTCTACATTCGGACGCCCATCCGCAAACGCAATCGGACCACGAAGTTCCTGCACCCTTTCCATGGACCCTTCAGACTGCTGTGCCAGACCAGAGCGAACACCTGGGAAATCGTCGTCCGCACCAGGCGTCGGAAGGACACCGTGAACGTGGCACGGCTAAAACCGTACTACGACCGTCCGGAAGACCCCGACGGGGACGGCGAGATTGGGGAGGATGCCTCGGCGGGGCTTGACCAAGCTAGTGATGAGAGTTCGGAGGACGAGTTCTTTGATGCCGTGGACGTACCGAACACTCCGGAACCGTCGAGAGCTCAAAGTGAAAGTGCTAGTACAGTGACCACAAACCCGGCAGATCATGGACTCCGACGCAGTGCAAGACTTGAACAAAGGAAGGGTCGGGTGTGAAAATTGTATGCGCACTAAGTACTCCGTTGCCGCTTGTTTCTTCTGGCATGAAGTGCTTGTGTGTCCAGATGCTGCGCTTGCGTTTTTCTTTGGTGTATAATTTATATGCGTGAAATTCTTGGTGTGTGTCGCGGGTGTTAATGCTGAGATTGGGACCTCTTCAGCTGAACAGGGAGGAATTTGTAGCGTGAGAATAAATCAGTTGCCGATGGTGGTACGTTTCGGGCCGCTTGTTCTGCTCCCCTTCCCTAAAAGCGGTCGTCGTCACAGCGGAGACGGGCTCGACTCGCTGCGGCCTTGGGGGCCCGCCGGTTCCAGAACACGTGCACCGGACCGTCGTTCCGCCAGCGGAAAGTTTTGTATCCCTAACCCCTGGTCACTCCGTGTCCTACACTTACGATTGTTACAATATCACCAGAGCAGCGGGTCACGTTCACGTCGACTGATGACGTACCCTTGAGCCGTGCAATATTACAGGCGCAGACGCATTGGGATACGTGTTGAACTTCGCTAGTGAGAAGCGCCACTGTCGCGTCCCCCCCCCCCCCCTTTTTTTTATTCTTTGCTTTGAAGCTTGCTTTTTGTAGTGCATTTTTTTTCGTATAATTCTGCTAGGGCTTCACGCGGGTTTGTCGTTTCCCGCTCATTTTATTTCTGAGCAAGTGACTTGCTGACTGGCGCGGTATAGCTGAACGTAAAAAAAAATAATGTATCGAAAATATTTGTAAAGAACCTTGCCCATTCCATTCCGGCCAAAAGGCATCTAATTTCATTCACATACCATTTCCCTCGACGTTGCCGCCATTCCATTCCCATTCCATTCCGTGCCGCAACACTGGTTTCTACATCCCTACGCCAAGCTAAACTTAAGGCTTTGTAGAGTGTCCATAGTCGACCTTGTAAAGCTCCAAATCTTTCCAAAGTTTCTGTACAAAAAAAAAGTAATTCGAAACCTCGTTTGTCTACGTTCTCGCTGACGTCATCGTGATGTTTCAGAACTTTGCGAAAGCCGTGATTTGAGCCCGAATTATTAGCTTCAGATCGAAGCAAAGTTAAACTTTGTCAACATGGCGGTGCTGAACGCTGCGGCCGAGCTTATCTTACGCCAGCATCGGCGTTGCTACCGAGACCA